GGGGGAGTCTAGGTTGGATATTAGGAAAAACTATTCCACTAGGAGGGTGGTGAAGCACTGGGATGGGTTACCCAGGGAAGTAGTGGAGTCTCCATCCCTAGAGGTTTTTAAGTCTCGGCTTGACAAAGCCCTGGCTGGGTTGATTTAGTTGGGGTTGGTCCTGCTTTGGGCAGGGGGTTGGACTCCATGACCTCTTGAGGTCTCTTCCAACCCTATGATTTGTACCATCACTAAACACTCAAGGGCCCACATGCTCACCTTTAAAAGTGTCACATGCTCCCAACTGTGTTCCCCACCTGTGCCAACCTTGTGCTCACTCAAAATCTTCTCTCAAGAACTCAGGATGAAAGACAATTGCGACCCTTGTCTGTGGGAGCAGAAGTTGGTTCAAGCTGTTCAAAAATACCAGTCTGGACAACTCTTTTTCAACCCAGTCATAACAAGCACGTTTCATTGCACACAGAAGTTTAGTTTCTGCTGGAGTGGCTTAAATTATGTTCTAAACTAAATTTCAAGCACGAACCAAGTCATGGGATTAAGGTGTTGTCCACAGTCCTCCATCACAGCTGATTCTATAGTGGTGGCAGGACCACTGTTCACTAGCAGCGTGAAGAAGTTACACCATACCCTTTTATAGCAGCAATTGATGCTAAGATAGCCATTTAAACAATATTCATTTTGAGAATGGGTAACAATGGTGATTAAAAGGGCATTAGAAAATGTATTCCCAAGCAGTTCCCACACCTGGTAACCAATCATAGTTAGCACAGTTCAACTCCTAGCATGGTGAGGACTTTAAAGAGAATCTGGCTTCAGGTTTTCACTGGGCAGTTTGTAATGATCAGAGGTTTCAGTTAGAACTCATCAGGATGTGTCTGTACCCAAGTGGCTACAGTCTGGCTGCTCAGATCCTCCTCTACAGGACCAGCAAAATGACTAGCCCATCTGTCAACAGGGACCTAATTAAATAACAGGTGTAACACAGCAAGAAAGCTCAGTTGTAAGGTGCTGCAGGAAATGCAAGGTATTAAAATTGCATGCTGAAAACTGCTCCTTTCATTGAGTTACTTCAGGTTTACACACCTGGAGAGCATAGGAGAAACAACTTTTCAATCTCAGCTTATGAGCAAAGGACCCTCAATCAAGAAGAACAAGACAGTACTTTTCTACAACTTTTATCTGAAAATGACCCCAAAGCACTTTACCCACACAAGATAAATTATGGCCTACATTTCAAGAGCGACTAGTGATTCTGACAGTCCAACATAAAGGGACCTAATTTTCAAAGTCCAGCCTCTAAAAAGCTTCTTCTTTGCACCCAAAAATCTCTTATGAAAATTTAGAACAAAATGTTCTACATTGCTCTCCTCAACCAGCACTGAAACATTGGCATTTCTGGGGCGGAACATAGAACACGACAGCTATTTAATGGCGCACAGCCACACTATACCACAGTGGTCCTCACCTATAATAAGTGTTATGCAACCATTCTAATTTCCCTTTACACCAATAGTAATTCCTGCCACACATCAATCCTCCATTAAAACAGACCATTACAAACTCCTTGCCTTCTCCCAAAAGAGACAGCTCCAGCCCTGTTGACAAAAACCTTTGCTGACAAACATGCAAAGCTAAAAGATGCCCCAAAAGTCCTCTGATGGCAGCTGCCCACTACCATCTTTCTGGGAATCAAATCCTGCAGCTGTTACTCACATCAAACTCTCCTCAACAGCCATAGCAGTTATGCCTGCATATATATTACAGAATTTGTCCCAGTAGGACACAATTGATAGGAGAGCAATGGAAGCACTAGCAGAAGAAAAAAAAAAAAAGAGAAGCCACACAGAACTTCTAACCACAGACCAATATGTTGCAATAAGCCTAATAATACTTTACAGTGGCGTAAGAGCTTTCAATCTTCCAAGCAGAGCACAAACACTACAATTTAGCAAATGACAATACAATTCACAGAAAGATCTAGCAAGAGAAGGAAATATACATCCCCAAGGGGGAAAATATTCTATATTTAGATACACTGAACATATAGTTTAGAACGGACTGGAAGAGTATTAGAAAGTTTTGTTGATTCCCCCTCTCCCCCATGCAAACAGATTGCTGCATGGAGCTATCTTCTGATGAACACTCACCTCCCACCGTGGATTTGTAGTGCTTGTTGAAGCTGTCGTTGGCATATCGCTGGACCAGCGATGTCTTCCCAACCGTGGCATCTCCAACAATGAGAACTTTAAACATATGGTCATGATGATGCCCCATTTTCATATCAAGGAAACACAACCAGCCTCTCTATTTTTTAAGCATCTTTCGTCTAATCCGAGCGCACATAATCCAAGGGGCAGAGGAACGGACCAATGACCACTTTCGCTTCCAGAAAACTCAGAGAAATGGACATGCATGCACTAGCTGGAATGTGTAAATACTTATTTCCCCCTCCCACACATCATCTGCTCTGCACATTACAGGCAGACACAGTGGTCTATTTTCTGTATAACTTTTGGGTCTTCCCTGGAGATGCAGTGTCTTATACAGAATGCCCTTCCCTTAGAGAGTGGGGGAGCACACCTTTACCTAGCCACAGTCTATAACTTTCTGCTTTCTCTTGCAGACATGTCCCTCTCAGTGTTGCTCACTCACAGAGAAGCAGACCTAGCTTCTTAATAATTTCTGTTTCTTTCTGCAGACCTATGCTGCCCCTCTGATTGGCTTGCACTCACAGCAAGTTAAAACATAATTAGTCCCAAAGAAAAATTATCCACAGAAGAAAGGAGGAAAACATAAATTAAATCAACAGCCAAACCCAACAAGTTTCCTGGAATTTCAATCTTCATGCAGTTGCATTGGAGGGACAGCTGAGCCCTGCCACACTCATCACACAGGTTGGGGGGAAAGTTTCCCCACCGCGCAGTGGCTGTTTCCTAGGGATGATGGAGGTAAAGACCTAGCCCTGCTTCCGCCTACTGGGACACAGCAGAAGCCGCTCCGCCTTTAGCAGCTACCAGCCCCTTTGCCATGGGCAGTCATGTGAGAAGGTCAGGTGGCTGCACTAACCCAGCCCCACCAGGAAAACTACATTACCCATCAGGCACGTCGCGGTAAAGTGAGCTAGAGAAAGAAGGCTGAGGGCGCAAGGGCTGGTGGGAAGTGTGGTGTGTACGGAGGAGAAGCTGGCAAGTGTCTCTTCTTAAAGCGACACGCTCTGCTTTTTGTGAGGCTACCTCTCCCTCTCTCTGTGCTAGGATCCATGCATTTTTTTCTTAGTAAAAGAGCTGCCCCTATACAGGATGCCATCTTGGTGTAGCCTAGGTGACAGAGCGCCAGATGGACTGGCCTGCTGAGCGACTGTGCACCAGCCACTTCCGTGCACATGCCTCAGTTTCCCCATCTGTAAAAAGGGAACGACAATATTGACTGCCTTTGTAAAGTGCTTTGAGATCTATTGTTGAAAAGTGCATTCTAAAAGGCAATTGTTATTTAATGACTTTTTTATTCAGGGTCTTGCTTAAATTTGCTTGTCATAACATCACGATAAGGTAAGTCCCCTACCCACTCAAGAGATAATTTAAATTTGGTTATTAGAACTGGTTAACATTTTGCAAATTTTTAATTTGGAGTGGGGCACTGAAATTCCCAATATGAAAAAAGCTGAATTCATCATCATTTGTTTTAAAGTCCAAAATAATTCACTCTGCTTCTCTTCCCATTTGACATCTGATGTCTAATTTTTTATGAAAAAAATGTGTTTGGTTCAAATGTTGACCAAAAAAAGTTGATATTTTCTACAACTTCCCTGCCATATTTTCTAACCATTTCTATTAATGTACTCCTATCAAACTGTGTCTTCAGTCCATGCACCATGTGTTTGAATTGTATTAACAATATCCAATTTTGGTTTTTAAATTTTGTTGTAAAAAAGAGTGAAACTAGAACTTTTGACAGTTTTGCTCCTATGAATCAGATCCAGCTTCCAATGAGAAATCAGATCCCCCTCTTCGAATATTTAATTCACTAGGTACAAAAAAGCAGAGAAAACGACCAGCTAGGGTGAGCAAGATGCAAGCAGCTTGCAGTAGTGCCAGCTCTTGTGACATTTCGCCCCAGCTTCTTGTGATCATGGAATCTCACTTTCAGAAAACAAACTCTAAAGTTGGAGCCCTTGCAGAGGTATAGAAAAATTGGGAAATGCTCTCAAAAACCAGAAGGCAAATAAAAATAATTCAACATTTAAAAAAAAAAAACCTTGGGATTTTTTTAATTTCACTCAGGGCTGGCAAGAGGCACCAAAAAGCAAGGTTCTGGCTGGATAAAAAAAACAGCCTTCCCCAGGTTGCAGTGAACAAAGACAGTGGTGAGAGCCTTCTTTGGCTTTTATTCATAGTGGGCTTTTTGTTAAAAAAAAGCAGACTGATGGGTACTTCCCAATCAAGGGCACTTTGCAAAACAAAGGAAGTTTGATCTGAGGAAGTGAGTCTGGACCATGAAAGCTCATCACCTGGTTTGTCAGTTTAATAATGTGTTTGCTTTTTTCATTGTATTCCTTTAGTATATATGGTCATGCCAATTCTCTCCCAGAATATGATCTGAAGAGGTAGGTTTGGCCCATGAAATCTTATCACCTAAAGACTAACAAGATGGTTTAATAAAGTGCTACATAGTTTTTCCTTTTATTAAACCATCTTGTTAGTCTTTAAAGTGCTACACAGTTTTTCCTTCTCACCTGCACATGCCTGCTTCTTTTGTGCAATGTATATTTTTTACAGAACTCAGAGTGACAAGTTATGCAGTAGGACATAGATTCACATAAGAGAGACTTTGGCAGGTCCTTAATGCAGTGAGACAGCTTGAGCTGGCTTCGGAAAATACAAGGTGACCCTGGCTCAGCCAAGCAGTCAAACAGCACATCCATCCAGGATAATAAACGGCCCACGGTCTTTTTTAAAAAAGGAAAAAAGTCTGCAGCTGCAGACAGCTGGTTGTGGGCTCCTCCAGCACCATCATGTCTGGGAGGTTATTTAGCATTCCCTGTGTATGTGCCTGACAGTCCTTTAGGCACCATAGACCTTGCTCACAGGTCACAGGAGAAGAGGAGATATGTGTTAATAGTAGAGATGCCCTGTTATCAGAGATCGTAATTACAAAAACAGCCAAGGGTTCTCAGGCACATGGTGTAGCTGAACAAAAGGCATCCTCCGCCCAGACCTCACGTTGAATTTACAGGCAGCCATCTGAGCACAGAGCAATGGCTGGAACGGGTAGAGGCTGGCAGACTGCAATCTATCTTTTTCACTGGACACCTGTTGCTTGCTATGCATACAAATTTTTACCTGTATTCCATTGATCCTTACAACAAGCTGAATTATTAGAGAGCACCGAGATGAGCCTGCCATGGCCCAGAAAGGATCTTTAATCAAGTGGCTGCTGCACTTGACATGCATTAAGGCACAATGTACTCGGCGAAACATTAATTCAGATAATGTACCATGCTCCAAATCAATTAAGCCAGATGTGCTGCATGAATAAACCCCTCATACATACCCGCTAGCATTAACAGGGACAGGAGAGCAACCTTCCACAGACTGGGTGAACTCCTGCACTTTGAAATCTGGTGGCAATACACTCCAGCTTCCTGGCTGTCTGCTCAGTGATCTGCTAGCCAAGTGGCTAAGTTTATAATCCTTGAACCAAAAGATTATCCTTAAAGCTGACAGGCAAGTTGCCTTGTACTCACACTCCCTGCCCTGGAGAAAACCACCCACCCCCGTGATTGTTTTTCCAACAGACCTTCCCAGTTTTAACAAGTAGGATTTTTCTTTTCGTTGGTGAAAGTTCCCATTTTGTTGGAAAATCATTTCTATTTAAAATGTGTAAACGCTTTGACCAGTTGTGTCCCTTTCTGCTGCCAGCCGGGACAGCTGCATTCATCTCCCTTCTGAAACAGCGGATGGGATCCACACTCTTGACAGTATGGGACCTTGCTCCTAAAAGTGCCAAGCAGCTCCTTCAAGAACATCATTAGCTGATAGGATCCAGACCAGTGGGGTGGGCTTCCAGCCCGTGTTCTATCTGCATTATGTAACCAGCTGGGAGAATCTTGCCATCTACTGTGTATTTGTGGTAGCTTGTTTGTGTGTCTGTCTGGCCCCCCAGCTGAGGGACATGCACCTCTCCTCCAGCTGTGCCTGCCACAGCAGCCATGGAGAGGCACTTCTCCCCTGGCTATAAGCTGCTGCAGTGACAGAGGGCTGGGGTTGTCCTCTCTCCCCTGGGCAGCCTGCTTACTGAACACCTCATCCTCTGCCCCATCCCGGAACAATGGAAAAACAACACTTATCTGAGTTAAGGACCTGAGCAATGCTGGGTATCTTCTGGTGATCTGTCAAGAGTAGGGGCCTGTCATGGCATCCCTGGCCAAGATGCCCCCTAGGTGTTGGCATGGCGTCTTCCTTCAGCCCTGTGGTGACTGAACATGAAGTAGCAGTGTAAGTTCTCTGGGATCCTCCTGAATGCATTCTGCTGCAGAAGCTGTAACAGAATTTCTCTCTGCTAGCCTGCAGATCCAGCTGTAGCCACACCTGTCCTAGAATCACAGGGGTGAAAGAGACCTCGGAAGGTCATTGAGTCTAAGCCCCTGCCCAAAACAGGACCAACCCCGACTAAGTCATCCCACCCAGGGCTTTGTCAAAAATCTCTAGGGATGAAGATTCTAGCACCTCCCTAGGGAACTCATTCCATTGCTTCAGCACTCTCCTAGTTGAAATGGTTTTTCCTAATACCCAACCTAGACCTCTCCCACTGCAACTTGAGACTATTACTCCTCATTCTGTTATCTATCATCACCAAGAATAGTCTCTCTCTCTCTCTCCATCCTCATTGGACCCCCCCCTGTTAAATCCCCTGGGACATCAGGTGCTCTCTTTCCAATTTGCATTGGCTGGGAATCGAACTCAGGCCAACGATAACACTACACAACCAAGACATCTGCCGAGACAGAGCTGCAGGGAAGCATTGTGTCACAAAGGGCTTTTACATGGTTACACCATTGCACACTTGAAATATTTAATTGAAATTCCATACCCTATCCATCCCTCTGTTTGTGATTCAGTCTTTTTCTTTGGAGAGTTCTACGTGCTGAAGAACATTGAGACTGGATCATCAGTTCAGTTCCCTACCAGCACAAAGAAGCTCCCTGCATTTTCCAGCATGGAGTCTGGTTTTAAGTGCCTCAGACAATGTTGTTTCCACCGCTTCACTGGGGAAGCTGCGCCACTCTACATATCTCCTAAGTAGGGGAAATCTTTTCTAATTTTCATCTTCAATTTCCCTTTAGCCAACTTTCAGGGGCTTTGTCTGCGCCCAATCCAGTGCACAAGGTGTATATCGCTATGGAGAGCGCTTTCTTGGTGACTGAGTAAGCATCTGCTGGGTTGCTTTTCCACAGTTGCCCTAAGTTACCTCATACCTAATTCATACCAGCAGGGTCTATTCTAGTTTTATGTTGCATGAGAAGATACACAGGTGTATTCAATGGCCAACTCCTTATCAGACAAGACTCTGCATGCCAGCATCAAACTGGTAAACTTGGCTACCAATAGAGGAAGTCGATTTTCTTCTCACTCTCTGTTTACAGAAAAGGGTAAGTATGGTATCCGGGTAGAACTGGTATGGATGTCAACAGAAATCAGGCCTTTCTGCTAATAGTACACCGCCTAGTTTTTAATAGGATTAGCAGTCTTCTGAAATGATAGCTTGAAGGGGGGAAAAAAAAAACCCAGGCCACAATGCACATAAATAAATGCCATCTTTATTTTACCAAATATAATTTAAATCAGTTAAGTTGACATTTGTCAATTCAGTTATAACCGGCTATAAATATTTAAGACAGTCTTTTCTAATTTTCATACAAAGAGTAACCCAATATTCTCTTCATCTTGCAGCCAGATCTAAAGTACACATGCATTTGAGTTCAACTGATGAAAAATAAAAGAAATTGTCCTTCGAAGCTCTTTTAAATGCAAATTAAGTGCTTACCCTTCCCTCCACCTTGTAAAAATTTAGGTACGTCATCCAAGGAGAACTATGGCTCTTAAAACAATCACTTCTCCCTCCCTCATTTTTGTAACTGAGACCAGGATGGGTGTGTCTGTTTCACTGGCACAAATCTTTAGTTTGGGAACTGAGCAGTGATGGGGCGTGTAAAAATAAGAGGAAGAGGAGATCTACTAAAAGCTTAAGTGTTAGGGATAGGAAATCTCAAATGTATCCCTTGGTACTGGGCATGGAAGCAAGTGGACAGTTTTCTGCCTCTGTTAACATTGAGGGGCAAGGGAAGGTCTCCAAGAAATTGAGATGTCAGTGCAGCAAACTTTTGAAGCAGTCCAGGACAAGCTGGATTTGTGAGACGTCACTGGGGTGAAGAGATGTGAACATCAGTGCTTCAATTAAAAGTGATGTTTGAAGAGAGCAATTCTGAAGCCTTCTAACATAGGCATGAAAACCCTCTGGAAATCCCCTTCTCTACTAGCACAGGCATCTGCAAGACTGCCTCTATTCAGAGCTGCCATTCTGTGATTGAAGGCAAATGTTTACTTAAGCCAGGTCTCCTTTGCAGACCAGTAAAGGCCCTAAAAAAGGGGAGTCCCACAAACAGCATGAAACAGGAAATGACTTTTCTACTAGTTCCCAGTTTAGACAGTGGTCCCTTGGCTCTTATCTTTCCTGGCATGCAAGACCTTAAATGTGGTTTGATTTACATATCTATATAGGTTCCTGTATTTTTTTTGGTATTGGTTCTCTCATCGGTCCATGATGAAACTCCCATTTTAGTTTCAAACCGGTTAACACGCCTGGCCTTAAACCAGGATTCTAGCTCTCAAGTGCAGGGAAAGCTCTAAGCTAATTCCAGATGGGAATTATACAACATGGGTCTATTTCTGGTCACGACAGATGCACTTTGCGATCTTGCTCAGTCCATGGTAAGGGCAAGGTGGGGTAGTCTTCCCAGCAAATCCCTCCTTTTCAGGGAGCCAAGATGCAGCCATACTTCAAGTATCGTGCAACTAGCCAGTTTTCTGGGGTGGCTCAGATCAGCAACAATTGCTCCTTGAACCCAAGCTTCACTTAGGATGAAGGTGGTCAAAGCTCTACACCACACATTGACTGTCATATGTTAACACATTGGCCACTTCTTGATCAGAACACCCAGATCTCAGGGAAAAGCCCCAAAGGAGGAAAAACAGCATGGTTTTAAAGAGCCTGTGGGAGAGGTGCAGAAGTTGACCCAGGATCAGAAAATAAAAGCCACTACACGGGTGCAGGGGTATGTGTGCTGTGAATGAGGAACGCATTTCAGACTTTTCTTTTTAAAGAGGAAAACTAAAGACCTACATGCAATTAAAAATCTAGCTGCTTTAGGGTTCTGTTTTAAAGCTTCAAATCAATCAGGGGAGCATTCCTTAGATGCACATGGGTGCGGGAGTGGATGTTTAAAAGGGATCTTTCCAGCAAACACAAGCTAATTCCCTAACCAGGATCATGCTTACTTTAGAAATCAGACAAAGTGGGGCTAAGAGAGAGGAAATGGGGCTGCCCCAAAGCCTAGGTTATAGGGTGTTCCCTCCTGAGAGGTGTCTGCTCAGTTTATAATTAAAATAAGCCTGAATCGCATCTTGAACACTGAATGTTTACGAACCATATGAGTGACCGTTTACCTCTCGTGCTAGGTGGGGTGGGTGGGCTTCCTTTATGATCTGACTGGTCAATCAACGTTTCCCGTAACACCTTGGTTCAAACGCTACAGCTATGAAATTGCACTTGGTGATTGTCTTACATTTTTTTTTGTCCCTCCTAAAACTAGATTTTTCTGTACAAACTTGGCTTGAAATATAAACCACATAAAATTCCCATTGAAAATAATGAGAATCCAGTATCAAAGCTGAAGTCCCAAAGGAGACAGAAGGAAGGGAAGGGGGAAAGAAGAGGACACTGGGGAGAGCTAGTCTCCCACGTCCGCGTCCCGGTCGCCGATGAGCCAGAGAATGTGGAAGCTGAGAGCCAAGAGACCTGTCCCAAGCAGGTCACCCAGCGCCGTCAAATAAGGGATGGAGAAGTTGTCGGGATCCAGCCCCCTACCCCACATCCAATGCACCATCCAGTCAGCAATGTAGAGAAGAATGAGAACCTGGAAGACAGACAAGAGGAAAGAGCCATGTTAGCGACTAATCCAGACCTTCATGTCCCTTTCTGCCCTGGACATGGCTTTCCACCTAGGTTCTTCAAGGTCCTCCTTATTCAGACACTTGCAATGCAGCTTGATTGACATGCGAGGCCCTATCAATCCCATTCAAGGCTACGGGATGGGTCAGAGCAGTAAGGTTAAGAGGAACAATCTCCAGTAAGGGAGACCCACAGATGGGACGCTGTGTCTCCTTTGTGCCTTAGGCAGGAAGGGGAGGTTTTCTAATACCCCATGCACCACCAGCAGCTGATTGTAGGTATACACGGGAGTTCACTGAAAGCCTCCAAAATGAGGAGAGTCTGACCCACGTGCAGAGGTGAAAGTAACTTACACATCTTACAGGTACTGCTGTATTGCACACGTGCCCCGCGCAGGAGTCAAGGCAGGAGAGCGGGGGATTGGGATAAATTTCTTATAGATTCAAATGTAAGTGTGGGGTGGAGTGTGTGTGTGGGGGGGGGGGCTCAGGGGAAGA